TTGATGTTCAGAATTAAAACAAATTATCCCAAGAGAGTCTTAAGTGGTAGGAATCAAAGTTCTAACTATCAAGTTGAGAGCTTCTGTTTTGTTGGCTACTCTGCACTCTCAGCATTTGACGTTGTTGAAGCAGAGCCTGTGTAGGCCTTAGAATGAACGTTTTCGGGAATCCTAGAGGGAATTCTCATCCTGAGTAGGATATTCTGATGGTTAATCTTCAAAGTCCCTTTTAGTATGTTGCATACTAGATTTATTCCAGTAAACTTATATTTAAACTAAATCAGAATTTGATTTCTACTCAAAGAACTTTGTATATAAAGTAATTATGAGAAATATCCTCTTATGAATGTGAATAATCTCTTTCTGAGGTTAGGTTGGTATATTCAGTTTCCTTAGAGCACAGATCACATACGCTGTAAGGAATGAGGAGTTTTCAGAAAATATTGATAAAACTTTATATATTAACTTTTTTTCCTAATCTGGATGAAAAGTTGGTTAATCAGTAGCTTGATGAGATTTTCAAAACAAGCAAGATAAAGACACATTTATGACCTTTGGGAACATGTTAGAACTGGCAAGTTTAAAGAAGAGCACAATGATGATTAAAGCTGACAAGCTGGACCATTAATGGAATATAACTGGCTTGTGAAGGAGAACTAGGTGTGGTCACTTGATTTTAGGTCACTTATTCAGACTTTTGACTAAGAAGAAAGTGTACCACAGATAATTCTGCTCTGAATGGAACAGGAAGAAATTAGGATTTAGACAAAGGATAATTCAGTGTAATTTTAATTCCATTCAGTCACTGTTTACTAAGTGCCTATTGTATGCTGGTAATACAAATATATATATATATTTAAAGATGTGGTATCTGCTCTGGAGAAGCTGACATTTAGCAGGGTTTCACAGTTTACAGAACAGGAGTTTTCCTTTCAGGGCTGGATCTTGAAGGGGGAAATGGAATTAGCTAATATGGAGGTATTCTAGACACAAGGAGAAGCAGCGGTGAAGGGAAAGCAGCATGGGTAGCATCCTTTGCTCTGAGGACTGCACAAGATTAGAATGCTGGAGCCAAGGTTCCATTCCTTGTTTACAATATTGAATTGATTCCTCTAGTAGGCTCAGTTTTCAACTTCTCAGTCTTTCCATACCCACCCTTTCACTGCTGATTACTTTGTCTTATTCTTTGTAGAGGAAATAGAAGCCAGAAAACCAGAGAGAGAGAGAGAGAGAGAGAGAATAGAAGCCATTAAACCCAAACTCCCACAGTTTTCATCCTAAAACCTATAGACCACTAGAACTGCACCTATCTGATCCTCTTCCTTGAGTCTTTTCCTCGTCTTGTAATAGGTAACTAGATCCCATCCCCTGTGACCTTCTCAAGATTTCTTTCCTTCCATCTCCTTTCTCCCTGGTTCATTACCATCATCAGGCATACGTGCTCTGATATGTTAATCTTAAAACATAACCAAACCTTCCTAAAAATTCTGATATGTGCTGCATCTTAGATGAACCTTGAGAACATTTTGCTAAGTGAAATAATAAGTCACAAAAAGGACAAATACTGTATGATTCCATTTACATGAGGAATACAGTAGTCAAAATCATAGAGACGTAGAATAGAATGGTGGTTGCCAAGGGCTGGGATTGAGGGGAAATGGGGAATTATTGTTTAATGGGTATAGAGTTTGAGTTTTATAAAATGAAAAGAGTTACAGAGATGAAAGGTAGTGATTGTTGCACAACATTATGAATGTATTTAATACCACTGAACTGTACACTTAAACATGGTTAGAGTGGTAAATTTTGTGTTATATGTATTTTAACATAATAAAAAAATTGGAAAAAAATTTCAAAATAGAGAACTCTCCTTTGCCCATATCCAGAAGGAATGCTACATATCTTTAAGTAATTCGTCAAAATCAGTGTCATTTTTATCCTACCCCCCCAAAACAGCCACAGACCTTCCTTGATACCACACTCCCCTCCAGAGACCACTTTATTTCGAGGTTCCCCTAAAACTAATGCCTCAAAAGAGGCATGCTGTCTCTACTTCCCTCTCCTATTCACTCTTCAGTTCACTATCATCTGACCCTCCACCTCTTAAAACTGCTTTTGTCAAGGTCATCTGTACTCTCCACATGCCAAATCCAGGGGGTACTTGACCTTTTGGCAGCGTTTGACATAGTTTGCTCCTCCCTCCTGGAGCTCTTCTCCTCTCTCCACTTCAGTGACACCGTGCTCCTGGTTTTCCTCTTGCATCTCCTGGTTTTCCTCTTGCTACTTTCCCTTCTGTCCTTGACCTCTGAGTAATGGATTTCCAAAGGACATTGTCCTGGGCATTCTTGTTTCTCTGTAATTCCCCTTCGGTCCAGTCCCAGGGATTTAATTGCTTGCATTATGCTGATGATTGCTCCTTGTTGTCTCCAGCCTAGACTGCTCCTGGGTTCTGGACTCTCATATCCAACTGTCTTCTTGTCTCACAAACGTGTCATACTTAATGTGCCTAAAACAGACCTTGCATCTCTTCTACTCCCACTGCACACTTCCTTGTCTCAGTCAATGGCACTACACCACTCAGGCCAAATGTCGGCATAGTCCTTGCCCTTTCCCCCGTTTATCTCCCTCACCCCCAACAGCAAGGCCTGTAGATACTATTTCTCATTTGAATCACTTTTTTGTCTCTGTCTACACTGGCAGACTGTCTCTGTCGTCCAGGCCACCATGCCCTCCTATAAGGACTACTCCAGCAGCCTCCTCTCGTCTGCCCACAAGCCCCCCCCCATTCATTCTGCACACTGCTATAAGAATAAACAGTTTCACTTCGCTGTTATCATTTCTGTGACTTCCCAAATTCCCTACTGTAGCCTGTCTGTGTAATCTGGTCCCTACTTAGTTCTCCAGTTTCGTTTCATATCTCTCTCCCCTCACTTACTGTGTTCTAGTGAATTTGGTCTTATTTTACTTTTTTTTTTTTTTTTAAACATACCAAACTCTTTTCTCCCTCAGGATGTTTGCAATTTCCCCTTTGAATGTCTAGCTCCTTTTCTTCCTTTTATAGGGTGTTAGCTTAAATTCACCTGTTCAGAGAGGTCATTCTGTGACTGTTCTACTTAAAGTAGGTTCCTGTTTATCTTTTTAATTTAAAACAATTTTTTACCAGTGCATAATTTATGTAGTTTCAGAGTACGTGTCATACTTTAATATATTCATGTAATTTGTAAAGATAAGATCAGTATACTTGGGATTTCCATCACTGTAAATATTTGTCTTCATTCTAGAAACATTCAAATTATTCTCATCTAGCTATTTTGAAATGTACAGTAGATTATTATAAACTATAGTCACCCTACTCCTCTTTTTGTTTCTTTCCTAATAGCTACAATTTGCAGTTATTTTATGTACTTCTTTTTCTCCTCCAGTGGAAGAATATAAACTCAGTGAGGTCAGGGACTGGGTCCGATTTGTTCACTACCATATCCCCAGTGCCTCTAAATGTCTTACTTGGCATGTAGCAAGTAGTCATTAAATATTTATGGAATGACAGGAGGAAGGAAGGGGAAGGGAGAGGAGGAATGGGTTGGAGTGGTATGGGGAGACAGACAGAAAGGAGAGGGGTAGAGAAAGAAAGAAAGAAAAAGAAATGCTGTTGGACAACTGCTGTCTCTTGATCCCTTCAAATATGTCCTTCCCGTGTTCCAGTGTTGGTTCTAGCCATCACCAGCATGCTTGTGGCATGTCAGAGGAATTACCTAACATCCCAAGGTCTTCCTCAGTCCTTGGGGTCTCTGTTCATCCCTAACACTTGAGGCTAGGGAGCCGAACAGTCATGGATATCATTTTTTTACCATGGTCTGGTACTCTGCCGAGTGCCTTCCATACAAGATTCCGTTTAGTTCTGCAGAGTCATTGGCACCTTCCTTCTCCCCTGCCTCCCCACTGTGCACTGAAATGAAGTAACCCGATCAGAATCATATTGCCAGTGAGTGGAGGAGGCCCTTGGGATTCCACTCCTGGACTTCATGGCTGTAAAGGTTGTGTTCCTTCTTTCACATCAGGCTATTTATCTGTAGTATTTCACAAGTATAGAACAGCCAGTAGGCTAATGGTTGTTAACTCATGTCTTGTATTGCAGGAAAAAAACAAATCTTGAAGTCAGCCGCTGCTTACTCCCATTCCTGTTCTGATTCCCACCATCTCTGGCCTGGCCTCCTGCAGTAGCTTCTTAATTGATCTCTCTAACTCCCATTTGCCCCCTTACAGTCCATTTTTTCTGCTGACAGCCAGATTTATTTTTTAAAATATGTAAATTGGATTATGCTGCTTTCTAGCTTCTAACCTGTCATTCTTATTATTCTTAAAATAAAACTGAAAATCCTGACTGTGACCTACAAAGCCCCTAGCTATCTTGTCCTGTGTGTTTCTCAGGCCATGTATTCTTCTGCTCTTCTGTACAGCTGTACTGACCTTCTTATATTTCCTTTAGCTGTCAAGCTAGTTTCTACCTCAAATTCTTTATATTTGGAGTTCCCTCAGGCTAGAACTGGCTTCCCTATCCAAAACTTTTTAGGGCTGGCTTATTTTATATAATTTAAAACCTAATTTAAATATCACCCCTTGAGAGAGGTTTTCCTTATCACACTATCTATAACACACATAAATATATACCCTATCCCCTTAGCCTGCCTTATTTTCTTCATAGTAACTGTACTCTTTATTTTTCTGCTTAATTGTCTCCTTCACTAGCATGTAAGGTTCATGAAGGTAGCTTTTTTGATTTACTGTATTTTTAAGAACAATGCTTCATACCTAATAAGCTCATTATTTGTTGGAAAAAAAAATGGGAAGAAAAGCTTGTTTTATGTGCTTACTAAAGATTTCCTTTGGATAAGAGTTGCAACATCTCTGTTCTTAGAATTTTTGAAAATTACTGTTGTATAAATATTGAAAAGCCTAGTACCCATGTGACCCCATGAATTGAAACTGAATCTTTCCCCCAGTTCTTTTAGAACTCATCAAATTGAGGCTGCACCAACCAGTTCTGCAGGTGATGGGTTTAAGGCAAATCTTGTCTTTAAAGAGATTGAGAAGAAGCTTGAAGAGGTAAGATTTATGTAAAATATTAAAAATATGTAAAACTCAGGGTCTGGCAGGACTCTGAGGCTAGAGGAAGCAAACACAGGTTTTTCAGGTAATACAAGTTGAAAATATATATCATGTTGTAGTATTATGTGTTTAGATTTCTGGGTATCTATTAAGATTTCCTTGTAATTCTAGTAAGAATGCATTTCATAAATGTATAAATTTCCAGATTTCAGTTAGTTAAATAACTACAATAAATATTGTTAAAATTGTGACTCTGCTAAGTCCTCTTTGTCAGGAGATACTCAGCTATGGACAAAGATTATATGTGAAGGGGTCCTAATTTATTTTGATGTCATTTCCTTCTGAATGAAGAAGCTCTCAATTAGAATCATTCCAAAGAATAATATTTAATGTACATAATATCAAAATTCTTTTTAAAAAGAAATAATGTTTGATTTTTAAAGTAGTTTTAAATTTTTTATAAAATGGTGCTGATTTTTTAAAAAATCTGTACTATACAGAAACACATAAAATGTGAAATGTAAAATATCTCCAGAAATCCTGCTACTCAGAGTTCACTAAAATGTTAACAGTGGTTAACATTCTCTTAGATACCTCTCTCATACAATACTTTTTTGACCTCGTTTGAGAGAGTCTCGCTTTGTTGCCTAGGCTGCAGGCTGTAGTGCAATGGCTCACTGCAACTTTGACCTTTTGGGCACTTAGTGATCCTCCCACCTCAACCTGCTGAGAAGCTAGGACTATATGCACGTGCTATCACACCCAGCTAATTTTTTATTTTTTATTTTTTGTAGTGATGGGGTCTTGCTGTATTGCCCAGGCTGGTCTCAAACTCCTAGCCTCAAATGATTCTCCTGCCTTGGCCTCCCAAAATGCTGGAATTATAGACATGAACCACATTGTTTTAAACTTAGAAGCATCTTGGGATTTCATTATTGATTTTAGAACTGAGACCATATATGGCATGGTTATAGCCATAGTCAAAATTCAAAGGGCATATCTGTTAAAGTGATCAAAAGTGGACTGAAATAAAAGGATTAGAACATTTAAGCTGTGTATTTCACTTAAGTTAGAGCCACAGTATGAAAGGCAAACATTGTACCTATCTCGTAACTCCCTTATTGTAGGGCAAAGGACTTCTTAACATCTAAGATGATTGTACTATGAATGGAAATACAGCTGATGTAACTGACGTGTCTTGTGAAAGACCCAGTGTTTTCAGGATTTTCATGATGATCCACAATCTTTCTGGGAGAGAGCAGGGCCAGGCACAGACCCAGGATCTGCAGACCTGTCCTGCCACCGTCTGGTGGGGATGCACCTGCATGGGGCTACTTGTTTTGTAACCTGCTTTTTTGTCTTGACAGCATGTTCCATGGCTTTAAATATAAATCCTTACCCTTATTTTTAATACGTATTTTTAATTCATATGTGTATGTCATAATTTGTTTAAATAGCCTATGATGAATATCAGGTTGTATCTAAAATTTGCAACTAAAATAATGCTGTTGTAAATTTGCATTTGCACTGATCTTTAAGTACTTATGCCATGGTCAATTTAGTATCAATAATTAGAGAAGAGAAATTGTTGTACATATGTACATTTTGCATTTTAATACATATTGCCAAACTGCCCACCAGAAAGCGGATACTAATTTTTTTTCTCCAATATTTAAATAGGAGGTCTTACTATGTTGCCCAGGCCGGCCTTCAACTCCTGGGCTCAAGCAGTCCTCCTGCCCCAGTTTTCCAAAGTGTGAGGATTACAGGTGTGAACCACTGCACCATGCCAAGGGTACTAATTTGCACACTTATAGCAATTCATGAGAATAACTATTTTTTCTTCACACTCTCTCCTATACTGTGTTGGATGGTTTAGAATTTTTTTTTGCTAGTCTAGTAGGAAAAAAACCTCATTATTGTTTTTTAATTTCTTTTATTACAAGTGTTCCTATGAAAATGAAGTTGGACTCTATAAGGGCTCAGCTTAAATATTTTTTTTTAAATGCTGGCAATATTTTCCTGCAGAGCAACACATAGGATAGTTGTGTCTGCCAGATTGCTCCATTTTTTCAACCTTATGCTATCTAAAAATTAAAAATCAAAATCAAATAAATTAGTGTGGAGATTGTCTACTATGATGTATGAGGTATGGCTGTATATCCATCATTGAATACTTCATTATTGGGATTAACAAAGCAGTGCTGTTTTTATTTTGCAGTATTATTTTAGCTTTGCAAATGTATGCCTCTTGCTCCCATTTTAATTCTTTTCTCTTCCATAATCTCATTCTTACCAACCTTGTCCTTTGTTTCTTTTCTCCTTCCCACGATTGTCAGTTTCCTAAGTGTTTGCAGTACTAGAAGGTGGAAGTCTTGGAATCTTTTGTCAATTCATGCATTTTCTGCATTAGCAAAGGCAGCTTGGCAAGAGATTTTATTTCCACTTTTGTCTTCGTTAGCAATACTCCACTGCCCTTCTTTGAATTCTGTCTTAATTTTTTGTTTCTATTAAGTTTGCGACAGGACTTACTCCTTAACCTTTTGCCTACTCAGAAAGAGGTACTTTTCTTCAGAGAGGAGGCACTTAGAACTCTCTTAGTACTAATGATCTCCAGTTTCGCAACTGTATTTTCTTTTCCCTTTTAACTCTCTCTCCTCATCTGTTTCCTTGCCCTCTCTCACTTCCACTTCAATTGAAAATGTTTTACTGACCAAGGGATATAATTTTATAAGAGGGTCAGTTGGTTCTCAAAAGTAACAAGTGCAAATTAATCTATATCTGTTTCAATAAGGTGAGAGGGTAAGTAGAAAAATTATAGGAATTTCTCTTCAAACTTGCAGGTAGAATTTCTGAATGTTTGCTGGTATTTTCCTGCTCTAACTTGTTAGTGTCTGCTCTTAGCTGTATTCCTGCACAAGCACATGGTAGAGATGCACCTGGGGGTAGCCATTTATGGGCTGCTGGCCCCAGAGGGGGGAAGCCTGACTCTCAGGTGGCCTGGACCCAACGTTATTAACCCACTCTCCTAGATTATCTGCACAAAACCTTGAGACATAAAAGGTTTTAAGGAATATGGAGAAGATTGAGTTTTCTTTTCATTCATTTTATGGTGGCTTATACTGTTCTGTGGTCATAGGCTAAAACTTGGAAGTATTGATGTGACCTACAGTTTCAGTATAGTATGACCAAATGGAAAGAGCATTGGATTTGGGATTAAAACAACCTTGGATTGAGTTCTGGTTGCACTGCTTACTAACCCCTGCCCCTAGGGAATGCAGTTTAGAGTTTAGTGAGAAGAGAGATATGGAAAAGTTTTTTCAGAAAAAAGTAACTACTTTAGCAAGAAACATGAGTGCATGTGCAAAGGGTCCTCAGCATCTCTGGTGGAGATAGAGAGTCTTTCCTAGAAGAGGTCACATGTGAACTGAGACTTGAATGATGAGGTCAGGGGCAGGAGTAGAGATTAGGAAGAGGTGGGTGTCCTGGGATGGGTCATGAGTAAGGGCATGGAGGTATAACAGCACTTGTTAAATATTCTCATGCAATTAAAAATGATCAGTATTGTTAGAACATAAAGATGAGAAGGATGAGAAAGTGGCGATAAAAACAGACAAATATCCTTTAGACCATGAAGTCTCTTGGATGCTATGTAAAGACAGACTTGGTCCTGTTGGCTACGTGTAACCATTAAGACATTCAACCCTGGAAGTGTTGGATGGGTATGTTGGTGTTAGATGGGTTATGATAAATGAGTTAATTGGGAGTAGTATAGAAAATAGTCTGAAGGGTTCATAACCTTTTTGAGTGTCAGTGGCTTTTTCTGCTTAATGGGCAAGTATGAATGCCTACCCAACTACTTGCCTACCCAACTACTTACATGGTTTTATGAATATTAAATAAATTATGCATGTAACAGTGCTTGGAAAACTCAAAAGCAGGCCAGGCTCGGTGGCTCAGCTTGTAATCCCAGCACTTTGGGAGGCCAAGGTGAGTGGATTGCCTGAGCCCACAGATTCGAGACCCACCCGGGCAACTTGGCGAGACCTCATCTCTATAATAAATCAAAAATTAGCCAGGCGTGGTAGCGCGCACCTGTAGGTACAGCTACTTGAAAGGCTAAGGCAGAAGAATCACCAGAGCCCAGCAGGCCGGGAGCGTGCCACTGCACTCCAGTCTGGGTGACAGAGTGAGACTCCAACTCAAAAAAAAAAAACTCGAAAACCCCCCAGAAGATTATTTTTGTTGTTAGTAATTTTTTCCTAAAGTTGTCTTAAAATAATTTGAGTAAGCTCTTTTAAGGGAAGCTAAAATTAAAAAACTGACAGTCATTTGGTATTGGTAGTTAATTTCAGGACACCTACAAATAAGAGATACCTCCATGACTATTGAAATAAGTAGGCTCACACTAAATATTTTCTGACAGCTGTTTTGTCCTAAGATCCATGGTTGATTCTAGGTAGGCTCAGAGTATGGCCTATATACAGAGGGTGCCAAAAAAAAATGTATACACATTTTAAGAAAGGAAAAAACTGTATTAAAATTATAATACTCCATGTATACCAAGAACGAAAGATGACTGCAAGTCATGCTTGACTTCTGAGTTACAAGAGAGCTGAAAGTGGTTACCATCAGTGTCCAGACACTTCTGATTACGGCATAAAAAGTAACACATAGAGCCGGGCTCTGTGGCTCAGCCTGTAATCCCATGCCTTTGGGAGGCTGAGGTGAGTGGATTGCCTAAGCCC